GGTACCCATTGAGGTGCGGTAGTTTCTCTCCTTAGTCGTGCGAAGCTTTCTGTCGAAGAAAGCTCCGGAATAGAGTCTGTGTGTGTCACGTGACACGTGACAAGAGTTCACGCGCCGCGATCGGGCTTAAAGGCAGCTGCAACCACCGCACTGCATCACCGCGACGCCCAGCGCCACGACGCAGTACGACGACTAACAAGCCTTCTTTGCTTTCGGACATTTTGCACTTCTCGCCGAGCATTTTGCGTTTTTTGTTTTGTTTTTTTTTTTTTTAAATTTTTGTTGTTTTGGTTGTCGTTGCTTTTTAATGCGCACGTCGAACGATCTATTCGATGCCAATTGTTTTCGCATACATGTACATACTTTTCTTTTTTTGTGTTCGCTTGGGTATTTTCGTTTACTCGGGCAACGAGGTCGTATGACGTCCAAAAAATAATTCTAAATATATATATATTTATATTTATATTTATATATATATATTTATATTTGTCTTTCTTTTACTATTTGGTAGATTTTTCTATTTTTGATCGTCTAGTCGACGTTTTGTTGGCGTCGCGTCGCGTCTAGTCTAATCGTCGCGAGACTTTGTTCGTGTGTTACATTAATTTGAAAATTGTTCAGTCTCACAATCAGTGCACACTGCAAGTAAAGAACCGTCTCAAACTGTTCTCGAACCCGCGATCGTCAGTCAGAGACCCGTGCCGTACATCTCTTTCGAAATGATACCCGTACTTTTTATTTTATATTGTTTATTTATTTTATTTTATTTGTTTTATTTTTTTTTTTTTTTGTCACTTTCACGTTATTCGCAGAGCACTCTCATAGAGCCCGAATCTATGCCCGCAGTTTATACGCAAGTCTGGAATCATATAAATGCACATATTATATAGTAAAGACAGATGTCATCTTTATATCCTTCAGATTGGAACATAGTTTGCTTGCACACCGCATGGACCTCAATCGAGAAGCATCTTCAACCAATGACGAAGAAACCGCCGCGGGGATTCCCTCCTTCCTGCGCCTTGTGTCCTTTCTCACGAACGCGAGGTGTACGATAAACAACGACTGATCGAACCTCTTTCGCTGTGGCACTTTTCAACCAACAAGAATTTTCACACGTGACAAAATATTCACTCGGGAATCTCTGAGTTTGAGTGCATGAAAAAAATAAAAAAAAAAAAAAAAAGGAAAGCTTGTCAACGTCAAAATAAAGAAGGGTATTCAAATAAACATCCTTATATTAAGTTTAGATAAATTTTAAATATCATCAAAGGATGAATTTGATGTATAAACCTCGTTCTCTTAGTAATAATAAGAACAGACCGAATAAGGTCGTGTTTGAACTTATTTTTATAGGAAAAACCTCACTAATCAATTCATGATACTTTTTTGATAATACTCGAATATATAACGCCAAGTAAAAAAGTTGCCAGTTTCTACTAGTAGTTGCTACGTAGAAACGCGAGCGACACCGCTTTCAAGTTCGGTTAGCGAGCTTATGCTTCTATGGACAACCCTTGAACAGCTTTCATTTTTCTAAAATGTATTCGTAATTAGTAGAAATCACTCACATAATATAAACAAATCAAAAGCACTTTTTCCTGTACCTTCTCTAATAAAAACAAAAAATAACTCAAACACAGAGACTCCAGCTCAATACCACCCTTCTCGACATTCTTTTTATTTGAATCCATGGAATCCGAAAATATTTATTCAAAATGCCCACCCAACAGGCAAACATTCTAATTCACAGGGAAAGAGTCAACAGTCGCGAAATCCTCTCCGGCGCAGTATTCGTTTCGATTTTTCTCGCGATTGGCCTTATACGCTAATTATTTCCAGCACGAAATTATCCAACGATTACGTGCGCGACGATTAAACACACGTTAACCAACAGTCGTTTCGCACCTGGAAATCGTGCCGCGACGTACGACGAGCGAGATCGAGTGTCACGTTTCCAATTAACTGGAGGGGAGGGAATTATCGGCGAGTGGCACGTTGAAGGAATTCGATGTGACCGTTCGTTATCCTCTGCGTTATACAATGTCCGAGGTTCTCGTCAAACGATACATCGATCGACGAGTCGCTGACTAACGTGGAAAAAAAGAGCTCACGCAATGAAAGATTGCACGATAAACAATGGCGAGACGAACTAGCGCGATAAAGTGGCGAATATCGAAGACGAACGAGGAGATCGATCGAACGTAGTTTCACGAGTGGAAGGTGCAGCAAGGAGGATCTCCATCTTGTGCGCAAAGGATCCAATGATTTCGTCGCGTTCCCACTAAACCGACGATCGAGGAAATCGCTCGTTTGTGCCAAAAATCGGCTCCCGCGTGCATAATTTACGTATATTGTATCCTCTCATTTTTCCCTTCGCTTCTCCATCGCTCTGCTACTTTAGAAAATGCAGAGGCGAGTGTCGACTCTCCCGAACACTCGATCTGTGTCTGGATCGAGGAGGTCGAGCGAAACTTTCGTTGATAAAGAATAAAACTTGTGCCATTGAAACTATTGTAGAGAATTAGAATTACTTTTTTTAGACTTGAATTTTTCAGGCTTTCAAAGATCGAATTGTACAATTGATACTTCTGGTGATCTATACATGGCAAAAGAAGCTTATCTGTATTATTAAAAAATAGAACTATATAAGTAATATATTTAAATGTATCGATCCTATTTTTAAAGGAATCTCTGAGTCATTGTATTCTACTGCCACCTAGCCCAAAATAGTTTAATTAGGGCCCTGTTTTGTCTTATTTTTAGCTGAAAGATGATGCCAATTCATTAAAAATACTTTCATTGAAATAGACGTTATAAAATAAAATTGCAGATTAATTGCAGCCGGCCTCGAGTAATAAATAAATTCCTCCACTTCTTGTAATTTCTTAGAAGTAAGGGGAATCACTCGCGTCCAATTACCGAGCCAATTAGCTCACTGTTTTTATAATGCAACCATAATTTCTTTGTTATTTATTGTACCACTTATTGCATTACTTCAAACCGACAATTATGAAAGAAATTTTTTTTTAACGTCAAATGCCTTTCGTTTATAGTAATTGCAAAAAGTCCTTCTGTCCTTCAACGTTAGCTTCCTCGACCCCCATTGCACTTTGCAATCCATTTTACACAGAATTTATCTTCTTCGATTGAAAAAAGATAGTATGTGGTTTTCAAGTCTGTGTACAAGACGATATCTTCGCTGTGCTGTCAAAACTCCAATTAATAATTAGTACTACGTAATCTTGATCAGTATTACGTAGCGATTTACTCATCAAGTTTTATTTAATTTTTATAGTCGATTCTATACATTGATACTTTGCGTAAAAGTGACTTCTTGTGCGATATATCAATGAATAATGGAAGAATGAGTTCTGACAGCAAAACAGCTACGTTTTTTTATTACATTTTGCGCATTCCAATTTTTCAGTTATCAACGATACGTGGAAACTCCTGTCGCGATAAAGATGCGCGCAGCTCTTTACCGAGATTTGTTTGTAGTAATTCCAGCACTCTAAGGACACGGCCCATTTTTTCTCAATGTTACGAGAACGCATTCCATACACCACTATTTTTCCCTTCTTTTCGCTTATTGCAACAAGAAATTCGTTTTCCCTCCAAAGAGTTTCGATTCATTTCTGATTAGTCTAGCAGTTTGATTTTCTCGAAATCAGAAATTTCGTCTTTGAAATAAGAGTGACGTCACGTTGACACTATTGCAACGACAGGAATAATTAAAATAGTCTAAATAATAAATACTGTAGTAATTTGCAGGCATACTACTTAGACATACTACTCTAATGATACTTTACTGTCACCTATACCTGCTGAACATTAACGTTTAAAATAATAAAGAGCGTTAGAAAAATACTTCAAAATTTTAGAAGCGTACAAAGCTCGTTAGGAGGAGTAAAAAAAATGTTAAAGTTTGCCATTAACAAAACAGGAGTTACAAAGAACACATAGATGATTATCTATTACAAATCCAATTATGGAAAAATGTCAAACTAACGTTCAAATAAAGACACGTAGAACTAGTATAAAAGTTCAAATAAACAAAGTGATGCGATAATTCCCACGTAACTATTACCAATAAAAATCACGATTCTAACATTAACTAACGAATTTAACGTAATTTACTACGCCTACCAACTATCACAAGCTCCTAAAATTTTCAACTCTTTTTCTCCGAAACCCAGAGTATCGATAAATATTTAGAACGATACTACTCTATACTACTATACTACTACAAAGATCCAGTGATGCTCAAAGTGGAGTAAATCGTGAAGTGATGCTACAGAGAGGTAGTTTTGTGTTCGTAAATGCACAAGATGACTCTTCTTCGTCGATGTGAATGGTTAAAAAAAAAAAAAAAAAAGAAGAAGAAGAAGAAAAAAATAGGGAGGAAAGGTTCTCAGACAGTACGGATGCGAGTGCACGTTAAATAAAATGGAAGCACGTTTCTGCACAAACCAGCAATAGAAAATCGTCACGATTCAGCGGTCAATCGTCAAGCATCCCTGATGCCAGCTACGCTACGAATTCTACGTCAGCGATCAGGCGGTATGCATGGTGTATTAGTCTGTGACATTAACGAGTACAAAAGAGTATTAAAAAATATACATATATATATTATGTATATTTTTCTTATAATAGTATAGATATTTCATGTATGTATGTGTGTGTGTGTGTGTGTGTGTGTGTGTGTGTGTGTGTGTGTGTGTGCGTATGTGTGTGCGAGTATGTGTGTGCGAGTATGTATGTGTATGTATCTAATAAATAGTAACTGAGCATAGAGAATGAGAGAATACACATATATACGATTACAATGCACAATATATGATCCTCGGGTTTATCACTCACGTTTGCTTGAGCACGGAGCATTTGAGTTTGGCAAGAAAGCAATGGTGATGATTGGTCGTGGTAGCAGATAGTGAATCGCTCGACTATCGTTGAACTGTTCGTTCGCGTCGGTTTCGTAAACCAAGTTTGACACTTACTTGACGAGAACCATGTCTGTGAGTTCTGTTTTCACACCGTGCTTCTTTGGGTCGTATTCCGCTATCATTGGGCGCATTGGTGTTCTCTGAAAACAAGAAATTAGCAATAATTAGTCGAAAACGAACTAGTTGTACAAGTACTTCAATTATTCGTTTAAGAATTAACATCGATTAGCTTTCGTCGTTCATCGATGGAATTGTTAGAAGATTAAGCGGGGAAACTTTTCACGATCCTGTCTGAACTGTGACACTTGGACAGGGAGGTAGGTGAAATTTGCACTCCAAGTAGATAGGTTATATGTTGGTAGCCAACATCGAGAAGTTTTTTCTTTGGTTTCTGAGTTACTTGTTATTTGGAAGATTATAGAAGCATTTTTCAAACTTTAAACTCGTATTAAACAAACACAAGTACGTGCAAATTAACATAGTTTAATGGAAATATGCAATTGTTCTATAAAAATTTGTGATTACTCAAATTTTATATTCGTGAGTGAATGAGGGAATGAAGGGTGGCAACGATCTACAGTAAGATTCGTTATAACGGTACATGATCAAATGCACCCGTACCCGGCGAAAATTCAAAGTCGATTTTCTCGAAAACAAAGTCTCGCATGAAAAATTTTTATTCTATATTTTCGACTTATTTTTTCATATAGAATCACCCTCTCACTCGTACCACCAGTTACCGAACACGCTGTACATGAAAAGGGAGTACCCTCTTGATGTACAGGGTGGGGCAGAAATAACTCCCACATTTAGAAAATTCACTACGAAGTCATCAAAGCAGTTAGAGAAGGGCGGTCTTTTCCTTTAAGTAGAATATATGATATAGTTTTCAGTTGTCACGATGCCGTGGTCAGGTATACATCGAGGCTTCGTAGTTGAGTCATTTTTTTAAAATGGCGAATCTGTAACTGCGACGCAGAAACAGTTTCGTACACGGTTCGGTTTACGTGTAAATGAAAATGTTCTCGACCGGAAAACGATTTTGCTGAGGATTCAAAGAGTAAAGACAACAGGATCTGCATTGAAGAGGAAACCACCCGAATGTCCCAAGAATGTAAGAACCCCAGAGATCATCGCTGCAGTGACGGTTTCCATTGAATTGTCTCCAACGCGTCCGGCACGTAAACATGCCGCAGCTCTTCAAATTTCTGCAAGAACTATGCGGCGTATTTTGCATACTGACCTCCATTTGCATCCATACAAAATTATGTTTACTCAGAAATTGTCTCCAGAAGACTATGGAAGACGTCTGGATTGCTGTAACGGGATCTGCGCCGCTGTGCCTCCCACTGGCATTGTGTGGAGTAGCGACGAAGTTCATTTCCACCTTTCTGGGACTGTTAATAAGCAAAATATTCGCTACTGGGCTACTGATAACCCTCGAGAACTGCATGAACGACCTCTTCACAGCCCAAAAGTGACTGTTTGGTGTGCTGTGTCGTCTATAAACGTCATTGGGCCTTACATTTTTGAAGAAGGTGGAGTGATAGTTATTGTCAACACCAAACGCTATTGCAACATGTTAGAAAATTTTCTGCGCTCGAAAATTGAAGCATATGGAAACTTGGATGTCTTGTGGTTCGAAATTTTGCAGATGATGTTTCCGGGTCGAGTGATTTCTTTACGGGACGCAATTCCGTGGCCATCCCGCTCGCCCGATTTGAGTCCACGATTGAGATGTCTATGTCCGATTTGACTTTTTTCTGTGGGGATACCACAAGGCCGAGGTTTTCAAACATCATCCTCGGACCTTGAATCAACTAAAGGAGGCCATTCAAGAAGAAATTGAAGGAATTTCGCCCGACATGCTAGCGAGAGTGACAGAAAACTTCGAAGAACGACTCCAAATGTGTATTGCCCGTGAAGTTCACCATTTGGACGACATAATTTTTAAAACATAAAATAAAAAAACTTTTGTATCTGTAGATCTGAGAAATAAAAAGTTTCTAGTTGTATCTCATACAACCTTTGAAATATGGGAGTTATTTCTGCCCCACCCATGATATCAATTTCAAACCCTCAATACCCAGCTGCAAGCCACGCCTTTTCGAAAGAGAAAGCATCTCTCTAAGCAACGTCAACAATCAGCGGTCACTCGAGGATTTAAAATCGAATATAAAATTCTAATCTACCACCGCATTCACCATGATGTGAGGACGATCATCCTCCATCGTCGACAGGGAGCTCATCTCCACTTCGTGGATGCTGTCCGAGTTTCCCATGTTCACCTGTCGTTAGCTACTTCTGGCATACCTCAATAATCCTACACCCCCCTGATAACACCTGTCCCTTTTCCTTTCAGATGAATCCCTATCGAATGTCACTGTAGCGCCACGTGCTTTATTTATCTTCCATCGGTGCCAACTTGGTTGGTGTTCACCGCTCGAACACTATCGGATTTGTCCCAGTTCGCTGCCAACGGGCCACTCGTCTAAATAGAACCGCGCGATCGGTGGACCACTTCGAACGCGCACCTTCGAGCACGTGGATCGGCTTCAAAACACGACGACTCGAGATACGATCCTCTCGATCTCCACGAGTCTCGAGCATCCATCGATTCTTCCTTCGAACAGTGGACGATCACATTGCGCGCACATCGTGTAAAAATCGATTCCCGCTTTTCCGTCGAGACCCTCGCGAACGGAGATCCAAAAAGGAAGAACGCGAACTGATCTATCTTCGGACTCCCCACTCGAACCTCCAAGAAAGCGAACGTGAACTCGAACGGTCCACAGCCGGGCGGGAACCGTGGCTTTCTTCTCGGTACACCACCGACGCGGTTCCTCCGGGTAAACTATGCTCCCGGTCTTCTCTAGCGGCTCTATCTACGGCGGCCGAGTGCCGCGGCGCAGTAAAACCGCGGATCGCTGCCAAATCTTTCAGCAATGTCCCGAGGACGAGCTCTTTATATACCAAACGGCTACGAAAATAGGAAGAGCAAATAGACGTAGACACCTCACGTGACCGCGTCCTGTCTCCGCCGAGTGTCCAGCGACCGCTAACCAAGCTTAATAGAATCTGTTCGAACCATGCGACAGATGGACGGCTTGCGTCAGCTGCGGCTAGTTTGATCACGGAATTAGAGGTGCCTAATGGGCCCGCGTCTTCGAGGATTCTTTGACGAAGCGAAGTCTTCTTTTTCACGGTTTCGAGCCGAAGCTGCTTTGGGTCGTTATCGGCGGGTTACTGGCAGCTAAGTGGTTGTATTTTTAAGAAGTTTGTTTGTTTGTGTTGTTTTGCGTATCCTGGCCCCGTGATTCTGCGAGCGAGGAGTACGCGGTGGACTTGTCACGTGTGTTTGGATTGCTTAGTAATTGGTACATCGCGATTTGACAGGTCTTGGGTAAGTGATATGTAGTTTCTCTTGGTCCTGGTACCGGATGGAGGACAGAGATGGATCTATTACAGAAATGATCCTGTCAAGTATTGCCAGGAAGGAACTCTATGTACTCTGTATTCACTCCTCTGAAATCTTTTAATACTTCTTCCTTTTTCCATCTTGTTCCCAACATGGCCTTCTTCAAACAATTACTTGCATAATTCTCATAATAAAATCCTCAAGTGAAACTATTCATTCCTCCTGCTTTATAATCTTTTTTCTCTTTTTAACAGCTCAATCATCCTCTCAACAAGTACTTCATTTCCAGAAGCAACGACAATATTATTTTGTGGTTTATCTGCTCTCTATGCATTTCTCTAATTTTTTTTAATATTTCTTCCATCTTAATCCTATCACATCTTCTTCACACAATTGCATATACCTTGCAATGAATTCCTAAAACAAAACTACTCATCCCTACCGTGTTACTCTTGCCTCTTCAACCACTCGATCCTCTCAAGACCTGTTCCATTCCCAGAAGTACCCTAGAGGGATGTTGCTCGTGACAATAATCCTCAGTAGCGATTGTTCGTTAGCCCTATGTATATTTTCCCTATCATTTTTACGACTTCGTTCCACGCTTGTTTATTTTGTATTTGGTTTCACCGGTCGAACAGGCAATTTAGCAGAAGCTGCTGCCACTCGAGTCCGCGTTCGTGGGCGTGAGTTTGCTCGTCGAGCCGAACCAGCTGATTATGGAGACACTTCTATTCGCACAAGTTGGAATTGGTGCCAATGGTAGACTGCGTACGTCACAGGTACGACCGAGATTAGCGATAACGGGAGCCTGCCTCGCGAATTGCTCCGATTCGACGCGTTCGATGCTCGGCAACTGTTGTCGCGGATTTATCTTGAGCCGTGAACGATGCAGAACACTTTAAAAATAACTGGTACAGTAAAAGACTCGCGGTGCTTTAGATGGCTCTTACTAAGTGAAGAAACACACGCGTGTCTTCTATACGCAGTGTTTTTTCAAATTTCGATTGACTGATACGATCAGGAAAAAATATATCGGATGGTTGAGAGGTCGTGGACACTTTTATGTAAGGTGAGCACTTGGCCATGTGTAAATTAGATTGCTCAAAATTCGTTAACAAACATAGAAATTGGGAATTATTGAAAGAATTTATTTGGAAGAATTCAAGGAAGGAACGTTATCGAAAGAATTTACTTAAAAGAATTCAAGAAAGAAACGTATTTGTTTCGAGATAATGTTCAAGATAGTGTTTAATATAGTTTTCCCTAATTTTTCATTTCGACCTAATAGTATTAGGTTGTCCCGAAAGTTTCTTTCGCGAGTTGCATTCAATTATTTTATGTGGTCGTGTTTATATAAATAGGCAATCTAATTTCATAGATATTCATGTTGTAACAGTAATGGAGCAAAATGAATCGTGCACAATTCAGTAATGTAACATAAAACATAAACTATTGTGCATGTATTACTTATTAATAAAGTAAAAGAAACTTTTGGGACAATCTAATACAACCCCACCTGAGGCTAAGCTCTTACAAAAAGAAATTGTACTAGGAAAGAAGACGAGTGAAAACTTCTCTATACTTCAGAGGCAAGCTATGTCAACTCTTACTTTTGCAAATCTGCAATCTCTCGAGTTATTTAACTAATGTTATATTATCACCGGGAATGAATGAAGCGGGAGCAAGTATCACCTCGGCGCAGAGTGCCCTCCACTTATTGTT